GCGATCTAGGTCAAACCTGAATGGCCTCGTGGTTTTCCCGATGTTCTTCAGTTTAAGTCTGAATTTTGCAATGAGTAGCTCAGGATCTGAACCACAGTCAGCTCCAAGTCTTGTTTTTACTGACTGGATAGAGCTTCTCCATCTTTGACTGCAAATTATATAGTCAATCTGATTTCGGTGTTGCCCATCTGGTGATGTCCATGTGTAGAGTCGCCTCTTAGGTTGTTGGAAAAGGGTGTTCGCTATGACCAGTGTGTTCTCTTGACAAAACTCTGTTAACCTTTGCCCTGCTTCACTTTGCTTTCCAAGGCCAAACTTGTCTGTTATTCCAATTACCTTTTGACTTCCTACCTGTGTTAAATATTTCCAGCCCACTAAACATAAAAAGATCACTTAAAGAATGGCTACCATTTCTCCTAGAGAAACTCCTTTATGGACTCAGAACTATTTCTTAAAGTGATTCATCAGGAAAAATGTTTGTTTCCATGTCTGCTCTAATAAAGATCTATTATCTGGAAATAGGGTTTGCTGCAACAAACCACATAAAGAACTCCCCCCACTCCAACAGTTTCCATAACTCAATTAGCCCTTCTGAGTAACATCCTGTGCATTCCAGCAGAGGTAACTACTATATACATACACTAAACAGTAGAAGGACTTGCTAATACAGATATGAATGTGAAGCACAAGAATGAAGACACAGGTAAAGAGATTTTCACTACCACCACTCTGTTTCTGTTCAGCCATTATGGATGTTTAAGAACCCTGAAAAATATAATGAGCTACATTTGTTAGGGATAGGGAACCAGTGCAGTGAGTATTAGAACTAATATTGGCAAATCGGAATTTTAACACAAGCACATGCACGTATACATGATCCACTTTCAATCATTTGGTGGTACAGTCCTCCCGTGAGACATTTCAGTCTTCACAAGGCAAAGTGCTTACCTGAAAGCTTGAGTGGAGGCTTTTCAGAAATGTTGGTTCAGGCTTTAGGCCTAGTAAAATCACAGAAGACCACTCTCTGGGAACTTTATGATTTTACAGTTTCAGAGAGTTAAGAGATGGGTGTTAGACATAGGTACAAGTGAAATCATTAGGGCCTAGAAGCTTCAAGGCCAGAGGACCAAGAGGGAATTTTGCCTCCAATGTCCATCTCATTCGCACAAGGAACCCTGGATGGGGGAAGATGGCTTGCTTAATTGTGCCTATTTGCAGTTGCAGGGTATGAGATCACATGTCCAGCAACACACCTGATTGGTCAGATCCAGGCCTCATTTCCTGCCGGAGCACAGCGGAGCAACACTCCGGCAGTAAGGAGCCCAGGGGGCAGGCACATGGTGCAAGCCCTGCCCCCTGCTCCCAGCAGCCCTCAGTCAGGTCACCAGGAGCAACAAGAAGAAAGGTAAGTTCCAGAGGCCACTGCCCACCTTTCCCCGCTCGCCTGAGGCCGACGGGCAGGGAAAGGCCTCTAGAGGCCCCCACCTGCCTTTCCCTGCTCGCCTGCCAAGGTGGACAGGCAGAGAAAGGCCTCTAGAGGCCACTGCCCACCTTTCCCCACTCGTCCACTGAGATGGGTGGGCAGGGAAAGGCCTCTAGAGGCCCCCGCCTGCCTTTCCCCGCTCGTCGGTCGAAGCGGGTGGGCAGGGAAAAGCCTGGAGAGCCCCCCCTGCCTCCCCCCCTTTCTCTTCCCAACAGCTCTTTGCCCTCTTT